TCTCTCTCTCTCTCTCTCTCTCTCTCTCTCTCTCTCTCTCTCTCTGAAATGCAGGCATAGTGATATTCTGAGACGTTCAATACGAACCCTATCTCTGTTATTTTCAGGAAAGTTTAGCCTATCATCTCATGAGTCAGTGACAGATGGAATCTAAACAGCGTACAAAGTTTTGCCTTTGGTTTATAACAGACTTTTTACAAGAGTTTTATTACAAGGATTTTTATTGAAATTGTTTTATTAGAGACATTTATTCTGCAAACTTCTACAACAAATTTTCATCTAGCACCACATCCTACTTCCACCTCCCTGTTGATGTGATTGTGAACAATGATTTTTCTCCACGCATCGTAAAACCATTTTGGAATCGAAGTGGCAATTGCAGTAACCTATAACTGTAAGTCATCGAATCAATGTGGGACTAAAACGGGTACGGCGGAATGCAAAAATTAAAATTATTGACGGACGAGAACGGATTTTTCCCATTTCTCTTCCTTATCGCCGTCGTCATCGTTGTTGCTGTTGTTGGGAGACTGGCGAATATACACATTATATGGTCGCTTCTAAACACAAGGGGGCTGTCCCGAAAAATGTCGTTTTGAGAAAATCGAAGGTAACGTTTTTGCCCCTTGTTCAGTATCTTTTAAAGACAAAGACAATTTTCTCTATAACCAAACAAATACACACACCAATGAAACCAAACTTGTATTGCCTGCTTTTGGTGTAGGTCAAGATTTCGGAAAACCCCCGGAATCTGGCTTAGCCCCCTTGTCCTTAAAAGTGACCATATAAAAGTTCCCGTCCTTGAAGACAGGGAGAATAAAATCGCCACCGAATCTTCAGCGCCCCTGGGTAGCCTCGCCCTGAACCCTCTTGACGAACAATCCTGCCAGCCAGCCCAAAGCACGGGCTGGTCACGGGTCTACACGGGTCCATAAACTGGGACATCGCCCGGCCTACAACTGGAACAACCTGTTCGCTTGTCAGGCGCGTGATCTGTTTGTTAACTCTACGTCAACTTTCCCCCAATCTGGGTTCAGCTCAGCGCCCCCGGTTAAGCGAAACGGGGTCTTTCGTAATCCTCACACCACCAAACTTGGTGGGTTTTTAAAAAATAGTTTTTAGTAAGAGTTTTACGGCACTTGTACAAACCACCAATCCCTCCCCCC